ATGGCGCCTTTTGGTCCATTTCGCCGTCGGAACCCGGTGGACCTTTTCAGCTTGGATGGTTGAAAAACGGCAAATTTACTATAGGATAAACAGTACTAATTTGAGAGTCAGTGTGCGTCCTGAAAGGGCGTTTCCAGTTCGCTTGGATCTGGAATTGTCCAAGTTGGTTGATTCATATGCCATTGAGCGATATATGCGGCGCCTTGCGTCTACGGTCTACAATCTTGACCCAGCAGCTCATGCTGCTGACATCCTCCTTTGGAGTTCCCATTCGCTCCGTATTGGAGCTTGTGTGATCCTGCACATCATGGGATTTTCCGACAGGGATATCCAATGGATACTACGGTGGAAGTCTATGACCTTTGCTACCTACTTTCGGAACGTGGCCCTACTGTCACAGCGGCAGAATGCTGCCTTCGATCGACTAATGGCTATGCCATGCCTCTAAAGTTGGTTTCCGTTTCTTTATAAAGTTTTAATTTTGAACTATACCCGGTTTCCTTTTGACCGTGCCGACCATACTGTCATGTGTTGTCATTTGGTTCTCTGCCCTGGACATTTGCGTCTTGAATATCATGCCCGTCCTCACCCAGTGGGGCTTTACGCTGCATCGTCCTGGCGCCGATTACGGCGGTTGGGACGGAACGTTCCATCCCGCTCCCGTTTGCTTCCAGAACTCATCTGGAGCACGCAACCCGTCATCAGCTTCGAGACCTCGGTCGCGTTGTAACGCTTGTTCTCTTCACGGGTGCCCGTGTAGAGAACGTTCCACGCGGCGCTTGCCAACCCTTGCCCCGCCTTGGCCTTGGCTGCCGATAGCACCACCGTGTTGTCAGCCAGTGCTTGGCGGACCACCTTTTTGGGTGTCACCATTGGCTGGCGTCGCGCCGTTGGATCAAATCCTGGCAACGCCGAGTTGTACCGGGGGTTCTGCCCCTTGAACTTGGCTTCCAGCCGATGAAACTCCCTGCCCGAGATGGACAGCAATGAACGCATTGCCGCTCGGTCCTCGGGGCCCAACACTCCCAACGGGAAAGTACGGCGCCACTGCATGAACGCAGCTTCACTCGCGGCGCTCTTGCTGCCGGTAGCACCTGCAATGAGACCCACCGTGGCTTTCATCCCAGTTTCCAACTTGGCGATGTACGCGTCCTTTGCAGCGTCGTCCATGATGCCTGCGTGAACAATACAGCTGCGTCGTTGTTTAGCAAACGTCTCATTTCCCTGTTATTTCATGGTCACCAATTTCCGTCCACGTACCTGATACAGTTTCGTGCAGTATTTCTGCCGTTCCTCTGAGTTGTGCCTGAGTTTTCCTCTGCACAACGAACTTTGTGGCTTCGTGGGGTTACCACGATTCCACCCTTCTTCGTTGTACAACGGTCGATTCCCTCAGCGAAACTTTTGTTTCTCGGGAATGAATCGCCCCTGGGTTTTTTTCCAGCTGTGCTGGCTAGCCGCCTCCGTGACTTATGGCGCGAACTTGCTCTCCGAGCAGCGTCGGCTGCTACTGGCTCTAGAAGCTAGTAGTACTAATCTTGGTTTCCCATCTTCCTGGTGAGATGGGAGCCACTCCTTAGCTTGTACCTACCAAGGCAAACCCTTATGTAGGTTGTTTACTAGCTACATTAGTCACAAAGGCCCCAGCCCCAGCTGAGGCGGTGGCAGGGAATCTTCGATTCTTGCAGCCAAGACTCTAAGCCAGCGGGGCAGTTATATCTGCTTGCTGGCTGGGTCTGACCTGCCATCCTGTAGACTGGTTGAGGTCAGTTCAGCCAAGCAGAACACCCACTGTTTGGTTTTCTGATGCTGGATTACCACCAACAGGCTTCTGGACCATGGAATATTGCTTTTTTACCCACCCTCCTCCCTCTAGAAGCTAGTAGTACTAATCTTGGTTTCCCATCTCCCTGGTGAGATGGGAGCCACTCCTTAGCTTGTACCTACCAAGGCAAACCCTTATGTAGGTTGTTTACTAGCTACATTAGTCACAAAGGCCCCAGCCCCAGCTGAGGCGGTGGCAGGGAATCTTCGATTCCGAGGAATGAATTCACAAGAGTCACCCTTCGCCTGAAGTGGCCCGTTTCCGTTCCCGGCCGGCCATTGCCTGCAGTTAGGTATCATACCTGACTACTAGTATTTCTATTCTACCCCACTCCGCCTGTCACGCAAGCACCAGAAACTAGAAGCAATGCCGGAGGCTAGCCACACCAACGCACACTGAGAAATGAAACATGCTTTGCTGGCTGACGTACCGGTACGGTACCATTCGCTGCAGGATCAGCCATGGGCCAGGCTCTGTCCTCGGGCCGAATCTGGTTGTCGTCTTCTTTCTCGATCATCGCTCCAGCAGACAATTCGATTGAATTCGATTCCAAACCATTATAGTTGCTGGCTGGATGGCTACCGTACCGGTATACCAACTCGCTTGGGGCACACTGCCAGCCAACTTTCGACCAAAAAAAGCCATTGCAGCACCGGTATACTGGGGCGGGGGTGCAGCCAGAAATGCAGAAAGCAACGCAATGTAGTAAGCAGTGACATAATCTTTTGGTTTCCTTGATGTTTCTGACAATCCCCTGGAAAGGCTTGGAACTGTGATGATTGGTTGCTTGGTACATATTATATTCACAGTATGATGTTCACACTGAATGAATTAATAGTAGGCAGTTGTTGTGCGGGTTCCTTTGGAACAGTTGCCGAAAAACGCGCTTGGCAGGCAGCAACCAGCATCCACTGCACCTCCTCCATGCATGCAGAATTGCTTGGAAGAAGTCTTTCTCCTTGGAAACCACACTGTCGTGGTGCTGGATCATTTCCTGCTGTCCTAACAATGCAGTTGTCCAAGAGATGCTTGTGAATGAGATGCAGCCAGCAATGGCCAGGCTAATAAGGATCGATGGAAACAGAAACCAACCCAAACCAAACTACAAACTACAAACTAATTAGGCTAGCTACAAGGCAGCAAAGAAAGCCTGGTCATAGGTCCATCTACCATTATCAATAAGCAGGCAATATGGAAGTAACAACGCAGCTAACAACTAACTGAGAGGAGGCCAAATAATGAGGTGCACGTACTGGCTCAGCAAGACAGAAAGCTGAACTGGTGAGAAAGTAGGCAAGTACGGTAATAAGTCTCCAAACCTCAGTCAGACCTCAAGATAATTCATTGCTTTGCTCTGCAGCTCCGCAACCAGGTCTAGCTAGTCTAGTCTAGACTAGCTAGCTATAGCTATCGATTGATGATCCCATGCTGTGTGACCCTGCACTTGCACCACCGCTGATGAGGTCGCGACATTGGGAGCTAACGAGCTAACCCCTCTTTCCAGAGAGGGGTTCGAAATGGTCGGAAACCAAGATGTCAACGTCAGAGGAAGATGTCCGTAAGGACCAATCAAAAGGAGTCATTAGGTCATTATTGTGTTTGGGGAGCATTCAGATTCGGAAAGCTTCTGGAGAAAGCACAGGAGGCAATTGCGTCACTGATTGTGCCACATAATAGAGGAGTTCGTTTCCATGCAACTTGAACCTGCATATTAATGACTGTGACCTTCTGTTTGTCCCATGTTTGGACATCCAGTCAACAACATTATTTTATTTACAGGCAGAAGCTCCCATGCATTGCCTCTTTTGCCTTCCCACAAGAAAAGTCATAAAAATAACACGCAAAACGCAAAGCTCATCCTTCAGTTTTCACTGGAGAGCATCAAAAGCAAAGCACAGCTACAGTCAGAGCAGGAGCAAGATGATGAAAGGCAAGGCCAACCAAGCAAGAAGCACTAGCAATAGCTATGTTACTTCTAGTAGTGGTGGATGCTCTATGAGGGAAGACCCAGTAGCTCCTCCTGCTCTCATGTCCTTTTTGGGGAATCTGTTGGAAACGGCTTTGGCCAAGTCTCAACAGCAAGCTCAACAACAGCAAGAACAAGAACAACGGCCAGATCGCCACTCGTTTGTGATTGTATCGGACAATGCCCGGTCTCATCCCAAGCATTCCCGCACGTGTCCGTTTCGCGACATGGATTCTTCCATTCCTCGCGTCTCGTCGTGTCCGGGCAGTTTGAAGAGTGCCGTCTATTGCTGTTCGCCTCTTTCTTCTTCTTCTTCTGGTGCAATGCCACGAGTTGCTAGTATGGGAGATTTGGGCTCGGCTTGTCGATGGGCCGCCAATGTCGATGAAACGGGTGCCGTACGACCACCGTTGCGGACAGACGACGATGATGATGAAGACTTTGGGTCGTTTGTCGTGCTCTCGGATGACGAAGATGAGGATGATGATGGTGATGATGACATGCCCATGATGATGATGAGCAGGGGAGTGAAAAGTCCAGAACCATCTTCTGTCAATCTGAAAGCGTTGGCCGTCTCTCCCACATCCACTGCCATTCATCTCATCCACTAGCTTGAACCTGCCATATTGAAACGAAATGCTAGATAGCTAGCTAGATGCATACATGCACATATACATACACAGATCCATATTCACAGCACATACTAATGTACAAAGCACCTGTAAAAATAAGACTGTCCATACTTTTAAAACACTAAACTAGACATCAAAGCTAACATTAGTCTCTATAATCTTGCTCTATCATCGTTTCTAGTTATCTATCTTTCGTTAGTACTAACCCAGTTTGGTCAACTTGCTGTTGACCACATGATAGACACTCTGGTCGGCCATGACAATATAGATATCTGTGGGATACCCATACTCCACATCGTACGTCACATCAATGTCATGAGCGGTGCTCAAACCGAGCTGATCTTCAATCTTGTCAAAGAATTGACCAATCGTAGGCAGACTAATGTAGCCAGTAATCTGCTGGTCTTTGTCATCATAGCCGGCAAAGTAACCATTGTCACGGAGAATGGTCCAAGGGTAGGGATGACCTACCGCCGCCGGTGGAGATGCGCCATCCACTACAACATAGTCATATTGGTAGAACTGGGGGCCCTGAGCAGTCCACTGGGCCTTTGCCTTTTCCCACAGTTCGTACTGAGGCATGAATTGAGGCGCAACCTCCAGGTTTCTGTTGTGACCTGTTCCTGGTAGAGACACCAAGACTGTATTCAAAACATGATAGTCAGTGTTGTCTGCCATGATGATGTGAATCTCCATTGGATAGCCATATTGGGTATTGTAAGTCACTTCAATAGAGTGAGCTGTGCTCAATCCCAGCTGATCTTCAATCAAGTCAAAGAATTGACCAATGGTGGGCAAACTAATGTGGCCTGTAATCTGGTTGTTTTGGGCATCATAGCCATCAAAGGAACCGTTGTCTCGAACTATGGTCCAGGGGTATGGGTGACCATCTGCTTCTGGTGGAGAGTTGCCACTCAAGACGGTGTAGTCATACTTGTAGAATTGGGGTCCGTTGGATGTCCACAGGGCCTTGGCCTTTTGCCACTGTTCGTATTGTGGCATGAATTGAGCAGCCACCACAAGGTTTCTGTTGTGACGGGTTCCTGGCAGAGACACCAAGACTGTATTGAGAACATGATAGTCAGTGTTGTCTGCCATGACAATGTTAATGTCCATGGGATATCCATATTGGGTGTTGTAGGTGACAACAATCGAATGAGCTGTGCCCAGGGCAATTTGATCTTGAATCAGGTCAAAGAATTGACCAATGGTGGGCAAACTAATGTGGCCTGTAATCTGGTTGTTTTGGGCATCATATCCATCAAAGGAACCGTTGGCTCGGACTATGGTCCAAGGATAGGGATGTCCATCCGCTTCTGGTGGAGAGTTACCACTCAATACCGTGTAGTCATACTTGTAGAACTGGGGTCCATTCGAGAGCCATAGACTTTTGTTCTTGGTCAATTCTTGTTCTTGCGGCAAAAAGGGACCGGAAGTAACCTGTGCCGTGACGAACGAGATCTTAAAGGTGTGTACCAGTGCTGTTGCCACCACAGCCAACCTGGAGAATGATGAGATTGCGTTCATTTTTTGTTTGTGGTATTGTTCGTTTCGTTGTTTGTGTTTGTGTTTTCGTTGTTTGTGATTTGGATTTTGTGAGAATAGATAGATCATTGTCGTGTTGAAGATCGAGGGACAACCCCTTTGCAATCGACTGCCGTAGCTTGGTACCAATCATGAATCTGTATACATCTATCAATTGGACATTGGACAGATCATGGTCGTACATGTACCGTACCAGTATTGACGAAGGATGATCCCGCTACAATGTACCGACTCACTGACTGCCTATAGTAGTAATGCTGGGTACCAATCATGGACCTATATATCTACCTTTCCTGCGTTTGCCATGAAGCAAGCAAAGCGACGATCGACCAATGACACGGATATCGATCATGGTGGTGCTTCGCTTCATGCAGTCCTCCTTGTTGGTTCTGTGACTCGACTCGACTCGACTCAACTCAGTCCAATCGTTTGTGTTTGAAAATCATCTGGGACTGACTGACTCAATGCACACCAAAAAGATCCAAATCCTTTTTGAAGCAAAAAGATCGCGGTGGTGCTCCCCTCTCCTCATGGTGTTCTTTTCTCCTTTCCACGTCATGTAAAAGACACTGGCCCTTTGTCTCTTTGACAGACAACATCTGGCGATTGCAAAAGTGGCCTACGTGGCCTCACAATTTGACATGAAACGAGAAGTGGCGGCTGGTACCTTCTCTTGCTTCTTTAGTTTCTTTGTTTTTCTTTGAAGCAAGACAAGACGAAATTCGTATTTTGATAGCTGAGTAGAGAATGGCATCGACGACGTGGTGGTGTTGGCAATTGGAAGGAAGAAAGGAAAGAAAGTCATGGCATTTTCTCTATAGTTGTGGGGTGCAGGAAGGTCTCTGTTGAAAAGAAGGTGGTCGAGTGGTTGTCAATGTTAGGGAGTTGTGTACGGCAATCGGTATAGGGATGTAAGAAAGACACAAGGAGACAAGGTCATGCCGGGCAGTAGATGATGGCCAAGTAAGTTATTAAAATTTGAAGCTTGTTGATAACCGACTGGCTATAGTAATAGATAGGAGTAGCGAACTACATGTAGAACTACCTGCTATTAATAGCTCCGGCCCTTGTAGAAGTTGTTCTTTCTGGCTCGGGAAGGAGCTTCTGTTCTGCCTGGCTGGTGCATGTGGTTACCGGCGTTGTTGTTTGTTCACTCAGGTTCAGCTAACCCGGGTAGCTAGATGTTATTAGCGACTAAAGTCCTGTGATCCTGATGGATGCACGGCATGAAAGTGAAGGTATTGCCCCGATGTGAACAATATTGTTTAGTTTCTGCGGGATGACCAGTGTTTTTGTGTTGTTGGGGTATGAAATGAACTAAGGGTAAAGACCCATTCAAGGCAGGCAGATGCAGGCAGCAATGGAACGGAACGGTTCGAGTTGTTAGGAAGCTGGCAAAACAAGCTGAGGAAAACTTTCGAGCTTGTTGATCCTGCTCGTGGAGTGGGCTATAGCTACATCGTACTGAGTAGCTACCTATCCATGGTGGAATGCGTGGTTGAAGCGTCGCTCGCCAGTTCAATTTGCATGGTTGCATCGATGTAGATAGCAAAGAAAAGGAGGCTAAGGAGTGGCTAAGCCATGGTTTGCTGTGCATGCCTGTACGATAGTCATGTATGTATGTGCAAATATAAGAGTTATATTCATTACTAGTGATAGGTAGCATATAGTAAGTAGGATAAGATAGTTAGGTAGCTGTCCATGAATGTATGTGCAGATGGGGGTAGCAAGAGCAAGCTAGCTAGCAGGATCATGCCGCTCGAAATAGCTCTGGTGCAATTTCCATGTGCTTGGAGGAAAGAAAGTATCCCACATCATTGTCCACTTCGAGTTCATCCAGAGCCGTGAGTAGATCGGCAAAGGGCGCGGCCTTTACGGTTCCTGTCAAGCGGGGCTTGGGGCTGAGAGACGTCTCCTTGCGCACGGGTGTCTTGCAGGGCTGATCCATGACCGTATCCTTGGTGGACGATCGTTTGCGGCGGGGCAACTTGGCGGCTCCATCTTTCTTGGCGACCGCCACGGGGTTACTGGTCTTCTTGACGACGGGTGCCGGCGTAGAAGACCAACGACTCGAGCTGCTGCTTCCTCCCATGAGATCCGCGCATCCTTCCGATGTCGTCGATGACAATGAAAGATCGTCCATGGCTTCGTCCAAGCTCAGAGCGGATTCTCCCCTGGTAAGTCTTCTAGTACAAGAGGAGATCATCCACTGCAACCCTTCAATGTCTTCTTCCGACGGCTCGACCAAAACCTTATTATTGGGAGCTTGTTGTTCCAAGCTACTACTGGTTCCCGAATCCCAACGGCAACTGCCATTGAGATCCTTGCTCTTCTTCTTGCGTCTGCGTCCAGTGGTCTTGCTCTTTTTGATTCCCAACGATCCCGTACTCGATGCCCGTCGCATGGAGACCATGGGCACATGTTTGTCTTCCTCAGTAGTCTTGAGCGAGTGACCACCGGCATTGTCCATAATCAGGACAGGCGCTTCCACCACGGGAAACTCGTCTTCATTATCATACTGATCGTTATAAGACGCCAAGTAGAGTTCCTGGAAAAACAAATGCAGAGGACCATTCGTCATCATCATGGTTGTTGTCATGGTATGATCTTGATGGATGGGTATACTGAAGGGTATATGGTAGCTTAATAATAGCTAGTAGGTATAATGCAGATTTCGTTTTTGTGGAAGAAACCAAAAATAATGAGGATACCAAGACAGACAACGGCCAAGCAGAAGAAACCCAAAAGACAGAAGGATACCCACTGCAACCACAAGCTACCCAAGCTTCAGTTCATTAGATATCATTATTTTCAGAAAGAGCCGAGCCGTAGAAAGGTTTCTCACTTGTGGCACTCATTGGTCAGGTCATAGTTAGAGACGACGAACTCCAAGAAAGCAATCCAGATGCCGTCTCTTTTCTAAGAAATGTCAAGATAGACATCCAATGTCTTTTGCGAATTATTTCGTTTAACACAACAAGAAAGTAAACCTACGCAAGCAAATTTGCTGACTCAGTTTGAATGCTCCCTTCGCTAGCGTTCTGGCAATCATTAAATAATCAAGTGAAGCAGCTTCAAGCGCTTCCAATCAATGAGACTTCGTTCTGCCAATGATTATGCACCACATCGACAACCACAATGGTCAAGGCGAACTGCCACATCACCAAGGTCATTGAACCTTTCTGATATGAATGCCAAAGGAGTGCTTCAATTACTTAAAGAACGCATCGGCCATGGACGACGTGGTGCTTCACAATGTTCATTCGATGCATTGGGAGACGACAACCAACAGCTGGCCCCTGTCAAACTTCAGAACTCTATAGTAAATAAGTTGAGTAACGTGTAGCCATGGCTTACCCTTTGTATTTGCGGTAATGCGGTAATGCTACTACTGCTATTGTATTGTAGATTGTGGTATTGTGGTAGCAGCTGGCCCCTGTCAAGCTTCAGAACTCTGTAGTAAATAAGTTAGTAACTGTTGTGCAGTGTGTAGCCATGGCTTACCCTTTGTAATTGTGGTAATGCTACATGTATTGTAGATTGTGGTAGCTATTGTGGTTTGGCTTTTGGGAGAGAGGAGCACAATCTGTAGGAGAAAGCTTCTATCTTGTATAACCAGCGGACCCCCTACTTGAGTACCGTACTCGAGTAGCAGATGTTTGGAATCAACAGAACGATGGGATGGTGTCTTTTTGATAGTGCCAAAGCTATGCCAATGATCAAAGCATCTGGATATCTATTCCATTCTATTCTATTATTTTTTCTAGCAATTGATTGCTTGCCGCACTCTGCCAACGTGGCAACATTTTGGGGTAGCATCGGTCTCATTGAATAACCACTGATATTAATTCTTGAGAGAAAGAGACGGGGGGTGGCATTGGACACCACTAAAAATGCACTCGATGTTCCTGTTTTCAGCACATTCCGCAGTGCTTTTACACAAAGAGTGCTCTCACATGTTCGTCCCAGCATGGCATGCCTGTAAGACCAGCTACAGAGAGAGCTCATAGAGCGTCTGAGGAGCCAGCTTGTGATACGCCCTCCAAGGAAATCCAATTGCATCCGCAGACACCAACCTGCTGCCAGCTATGCAAAGATCATAGATACCATCTACAGCTCCAGGAGCTACATACATACAATGTCATGTACTCGAGTACCAGATTTAGAACATTGCAGCGGTACCGGTACCGGATGCCATGCGAACGAATTGATTTATGGTAGAGCTTTCACAGACCCTGGCTTGCCTTTTTACCATCTTGACTTGCCACCGTGGCAAAATAATCAAAAGATTGGCATTCCTCCGAGTCAAGTCCAGTCCAGTCTGCTTGCCAGGACTGGCATTGTTGTATTGCATTGTACCATATTGTACCAGCGCCAGTGTAAGAGATCTATCTTTCTTTGGCTATCATATTATTATATCCTGCCCTTGCCTCTTTTGACATGAAAGCCTACCCGAGCTTCTGACTTGGGCTTCAACTCATTGATTAGTCGACAATGACCACGAATAGAAGATACTATGGATCAGCTAGCTAATGGTACCGATACGGTATATACTTTCTCTGAGAGTCGTGTCTCATGGAGCCATCAACCAACTCCTTATCTGTAGCCACCAAGCAACAATAGAAAGAGCAAAAAGTTTCCTGACGCAAGCGAGTCAAAGACTTCTAGATGGGCTTCTTGCTATGTGTAGACACGGCAGCTGCAACCAATCTCTAGTTCGTTTTGGTTTTTACTCCGGATGCAAGGGCTTGCTTGGACAAAGTCTTTTTGCAGTTTGTTTTCAGCGGCACTGGCTAGCTAGCTAGCTTAGGGCTGCCGGGTGCGGGTGCTGGCTCTCGTTTTAAAAAGTTGCATCTTTGCTTTGGCACGAAAGAAACAAAGAAAGGTAGCCCTACGTGGCGATGAAAATTATTAGAAGCGGGATGAAATAAAAACTGACAGCTTGCCTCCTTGATCAGGGTTTACTACAACGTCCCCACCAGCTGCTTGCTGCTACCAGACATCCAAAGCAACTGTATGGCAATGTCCCAGCCAGCTGCATGATATACCAGACATCCAGAGCAACTGCACCGCGCTGCTCTGCATAGCTCTACCGTAGCTAGTAGCAATCATGGCGTCGCCAGGTCTCGGATGTCTCCTGCTTCGAGGCACCAGCCTGCAACCAGCCATACGTGACAAACGAGGAAAAGCGGCAAACCTCGTTCAGTATAGAAGATCGGGCAAAACCGGATACTAGTACCAGTATAATTGCTGCTGGTGAGGTTCGCCTGTCGAAACGAGGAGCTCTTGTGACACCGCCAAACATCTGCGTCTATCATTGCCGGCGGCTTGGTGCGTGCAACGAGTGATCACTCACTTCGCATCCTCCTCCTACTGTACTAGTATCGAAGTAGCTGTCAAGCAATTAACAGAAGCAAGCAAAAAGGGCGAGAGTGGCTGTCCATGCAGCTGCACCATGAGCATCCTCCATCGAAAACCCACTATAGTGGGGACAAAAGAAAAGTTCTATAGCGGTGGCATTGTGGGGCTCACCGCTCACCGTGCACCATCTGTGACTCAAGCAAAAACTAGCTCCGGCACTGGCTACATGATCCTCGATACGGAAAAGTTGCTTGGCGAGGCCAAGCAACTTTTCGCACGAAGCGACGAGCGCACGTGGCTGCTCGTGCGGTTGGTTGACACTGCAGCTCATTTGCCAATTCCAGCCATGGATCAGCACTATACAAAACAGCAACTTGGTTAGTTCTTATTAAAGTCCATGGGCGTTCGCAGCCGACTGAATCGAGTCTGAGTGAGTTGCTCTGGTGGATGGATCTGGTTGTCGCTCGACCCTTTGCTTACGAAGACCTTTTGCAGGCACGTTGTCTTCCATGCATTTGTTTGACTCCTCGACCGCCGGAAGGATACCACATTCCCAAGCTGCAGCAATGCTCCCATTATATTATGATTCCCAGCTATGCCTAGCTGGCTACTAACCTTTCTGTTTTGGTGTTTGGCCCGAGGCCGCGTCAAGTGCATTCAAGACTCGCACCCGAAGTTGAATGCGCATGCATGGATCCGTGGTGGTTGATTTCGATCGTCGAGAATGATTGTGATACACTTAGCTAGCTCTAGTAGCGCTTGCGTCCCATGAAGACCGTCGTGTTGTGGGACAATGGTTGCTTGGAAGCTTGGAAGCATAAAGTTATTCATTCTAGCTATAGTACCGGTAGCTAGTGCTTCTCTATTCCAAAAGTACGGTACGATACCAAAAACACACTCGCGACACCAATAGACTTCACCGTCGAGCCTCACACGGGTCGACAACCATTCATGACGACGCACTGGTACAAACGATCATTGCAAGCAGCAACAGCTTCATAGACCATCATCACTAGCCCGGCCTTTCCTCGTTGAAGGATGCTATACGGAGAACAACGACAGCGAACGAATGCACGTAAGATACTGGGGGTGTGTGGCAATTATTTGCTTCTTGCGAGTGAGCAGTCGCCCGAAGCAACTTCGAGGCAAGCACCTCGGATCTCTGTTATGCCATGCCCAGCCTCATCCGTCTGCCAACTAACTTAGTTTAGCCTCGTCGCCTGTCAACTTCAAGTTCCTCGTGCATTTTAGTTTGGGCGTGTAACCCAACAACCCTTTAGCCAGCTATCATATAATATCAGGACGATAATCACCACCCACCCGAGCTATCGCCTACAGACACCATGGTACCAGTACACAAAGTGGCCATCAGCGAGAGAGTGGGCAGCTCTATGGTGTTATGTACCGGTACGGATATTTCGTGAAAGCAGGAACAGGTGCTGACCGGTGTTCACAGTACTAATACCAGTACCACCTGGTAACCAGTTTGGCAATAATAATCTCTCGTAACCAGTAGCTATGGTCCATCTTTCAGACTGTCTCTCGTAAAACGCCAAAGTACTATGGTGCTCTCAGTACTGACCGCTTTCACGCTTTCACACTCACAAGCTCTCACAATACCGGTACCCAAGATATCATTGTGCTTCTTTTCGAGATGGTATTTTATGTCTTCCAGGGAGCTTGATAAATAACAACTTCCGTTGTATGCACTCACCAAGGAACCTAGAATGTCACTCTCAAATTTGTTCGAGCCCTTGAAAACTGACTGTCAACCAGTAGAATCGGCGAGATGTCACTCAATGGCCTTCCGAGTGGTCCGAAAGACCGCAAAGACCCTTGCTTTGTTTTTTCAACGGGACCAGTGATGGGTTTGATGGATGGTGAAGAACCGACTCGACTCTCACTCGATCTCCTCTGACATACGATGAACCAAAGCACAAACCATAAAGGAAGAAAGCAAAAACCCAGCTAGCTAGCACAGCAGATTCCGACCGCCAACTGTAAACAATGAAGTTCACAACCATCCTTGAGGCATTGGCCCTTCACACCAGAGAATCACCAAGCAAAGAGGTGTTGACTTGGGTAGACATCAATTGTAAAGAACAGAACAAGATGACATTCAAGCAGCTGGAGGACCAGTCCAATGCCGTGGCTGCTCGTCTCCTAAGGCTGGGTTGTGAAAAGGGGGATCGTGTCATGGTGGCCTATCCCTTTGGCCTTGAGTTC